CATACAACTTATATATATATGCATAATATATATATATATATATATATATAATGTATACTCGCGAAGTAGCGCGTATGGTGACGCGACGGCCTACGTATCTCAGAAGACGTAGAGGTTCACTGGAATATGTAGCGATCGCGGAGCTTTTCCTACCAACGTGGTTAGCAGATTGAGGTCTGGCCTTGCAGGGTGGACTTGAAACAACTCTGCTGTGGTAGGCCAACGCCAATCAACCTTGCTACAAGTCTCTTGATAGACAGTGTCTTCGTATTCAAGCTTATTGTGTGCGGTGTATTTCGCCTTACATAGAATCACTTTTTAAGTGAACAAAAGTTTCTTCAACCATGTTCGACTGTTGTGGGGGTTCTTGTATTGCCCGTAGCGTGACGAAAGTTGACGCAGGTCTGAATCCAAGGAGGCATTATTGTATTCAACTATATTACATCTATATATTATATTATATTACAGCCACCTGATCAATTATATTACATCTTTCATCTCCATAAATTCAGAAAGACACTTGGCCTAAAATGCCTTGATTTTGTTCTCTCTCTCTCTCATAGCAAATGCTCTGATATGGAAGCGGTCAATTTAGGGGTGTGAGACTTTTAGTTTACTTGGAAAGGAATCTGAAAGGAATCCACCATTTGACCGAAAAAATCCAAACAAAACGCGTTTCGCACAATAGCCACAAACCCATTATTTACCGTGCATAGTTACTGGACTTGTTTGGAGGCTATACAATACGCCTGTTGTCATGGCAACCCGTTACTATGACTCAGGAAATAGATTGAGGCTAAGCCTAGATGTCAGAAATTTTATCCCGCCCACTACACGTTAGCACTGTTTAGACAAATGGGTTTTACAAAGAGGCAAATTTAGGTTTGCTTCAAAGCCAAACCGCATTCAGGCACAGAACGAATATCGTCTCAAAATTTAAGTCGACCGGCTTTGCTTTCTCACACACCAATTCTAATCATACCTGTAGATCAAGGAGGTCACTAATTCAATCTGGAAAACGTTAAAATCCTAGCATACAGAGACATGAGTTAGGGGATCGAATTTTGAAAGTATGGTACTCCACAACAGATTCGATCAATTGGCACACTAAACTACATCCAATTTACGAACCATCACATGCGAACAACCAGTATCTCAACCGAAATACTCAGTGAAAGCCTAGCATCGGTTTAATAAACGAGGAAAGGTAAAACGACTTGATCCGATCAACAAAAGTCACGAACTGAAACCCAGAGAGGTTAAGAACAGAGGTCACTCCAGCACCGATCAGAACAGCAGTTCGTGGACGCCAAGCTCGTGTCATCAACCAATCCGGATGCAGGATAACGGACCAACCAATGGAACGGCCAGACCAAACAACCAATCGCAACCGATGGTCATCCCCAGCTAGCAGCATACTTACCAACACACGCGCCACTACTCAACGCACAACAGCCGACCCATTGTCACGCTTGACTGCGCCCCCCTAACAACACACTGATGATATCATCTCGGTTGGTGTTAAAATGTTTGTAGACAAATTGTGCTGCTCAGTGAACAAGCCAACGACCAACTACAGTCATAGCTTGCTTCGTCATTCACTGGATTATGAGATCTGGCTGGAGAGTGCTTGGAATTTTCGTTCCCACAGCCAAGTGCGTGAACGTTTCATGAAAACTGCTATTCAAGTCGTGTACTTTTTGGAATTTTCGGAACAAATCAACCCGCTGAACCAAAAAACAGGACAAAACCGGTGATAGCCAGCTGTGCAAAGTTTAACTCGTGATTTTATGTTCCGCTAACGTAAAAACCAGTTTTCTTAGATTTTGCAGTACTTCTTAAGCGAAAGTTTCGTTTTATCTAAAAATGATATCGAGTATTACGGTAGGACAACTTTTAATAGGGTCATTCAAATAGGAATTTCAAGCTTTGATTCCCAATTCATTGTCTAACAAATTTAGCCATCCTTCAACGAACTGTCCAAGAATTTCATCCCGGTGTCAAACTTGAGTGTCTACCTGTTTGATCTGAGGCAATATGTGAGCGGCCTTCCAACAAGCCTTGAGACACAGTCTGTGCTCAGTATACTGTCACTGATGGAAAATTCCAACGCAGTCTACAGTGGCGTGGTGAATGTTGCGAGGGAGCTTGCCAGCCAATTCAATGTACTAATGAACAACCAGGACCTGAGTGTGAATCTGAAAAGTCTTTTGGATAAGGTTGCCGAAGCTCGCAAGGTAAGTTTGTTTCTTCACAAGCACAGAACGTTTGCCGGTTTCAGCATGATTCTTCGAGTAGCTTTTCACGACAGCGTTATCCATCATGTGTTAGGTGAACACGTACAATGAGGCTAGATGGTACGAATTTACTGACCGGACGGTCCGTGGTTCGAACCCGACCTCCACCTCTCGATTTCTCCCTGTCTAGGCTTGGACAGCCTGACAGTATCCCAGCCCTCGTGCTCCCCTACGGCGGCATAGCAGTTAGGCACCGATAGGATGCCACATTTGAACCATTTTTGTGTTCGATGATTTACCGATCGATTCCATAGATATACTGGTTATACTCACGACTTGTGCACAACCAAACTGGGGAAAATGTGGCTGGTTGAATATCGAGCCGCATGCTGAAACCAAGTGAGTGAACAAAGCTGGTTTCGAAGGCCTGTGGCGATGTGCGTAAGTCAGTGTAGGATGCCTTTTTTCAAAGAATTTTCGGGAAAAATGAAAGATTACAACTTGTTCTTTGTGGATAGAAACCATGTGGTTCCTTTCAGCTTCTGGCATTTGACGTGGATGTTTTAACATTTTAGAATTGCCGAAGAGAGAGCCTAATTTCTGTTTCCAGCCTTCCCGTTAGTAATGTTGTTTCTTTCACAAACAACTCGTTTATTATGCCATCTGGGTGTACTGCTGAATTGGGATCCAGTAGGCGGAACTCTGTGATTATTCGTAGCTTCTCAACAGATTGAGAAATCTACTGATTCTTTTACAAATCCACCTTCAGGCGACAATTTTTTCGAAGTGAGGTGGATATAAAACTTCACATATAAAAGAGTGAAGATGTTACGCAAATTTCTCTCAAAACCATAGGTCACTCACCTGAAATTGGACATTGCGAGGGCTTTGTGAAACATGCACCGACTGTTCCAATCCGTAATCTTGACTTCAAAACATGTCTCGTGACCCCTTGCCAATTTAATGACACTCCAGAGGCTGTTGATCTCACTCGATGTATGTCTGCTCGAATGATTTGGTGATCTCTAATTTTTCTGTCCTTCAGTTCTCAGTACATTTCTATTGGAAGTGCCAAACCAATAACTTTCTGAGAACATTGTTGACCTAAAAGAGCAAAAAGTGTAGATCGCAAAAATGTCGACCTGTACCACGTAGATACCTGCGTGATTGCACCGACAAGATATGGAGTATTTTTGTGTACTAGACAAAATTTTTTTGTCAGTCAGAAGCCCCTCAAACTTCGATATGGGTTTGTATCTTTGGTTATGTATTCTACCATCTCACACAGATTTTAACCAACTCGACAACGCTGGAACGTCCAATACGGCCAACATTTAGGAAAGTGATAAACGAATTTCTGGTTGTGGCTGAAAAGATGCTTGTGAGAGAATTCAACCATTTGGTCGGCGTCGTTGTGCCTTGTGATTCGCTTTACGAACTGTTTCAGCTTACTCTGTCCGTTGTGTGCGTCGACCAGAGTCTCATCAACCGACTGGGATCCAACTGCCTCCTCCAAGCAGTTTCCACTTTTTTGATCATTGTGGAAATTTCTCTATTTGTTCGCTATGCATCCCTCTACAACAGCATGTGTGAGTCACTGGAAGACCAACGAGCTGACCTCGTACACTGTGTCCGAGTTACCTATGAAGAGTGGATACAAAAACAACGAATGCAACAGTATACTCGGTGATATTTACACTATATGGATATTTAATCGGTGATATAGGCAGTCCCAATAGTATAACCATATTGGAGCTCAATGTCCAACGACACAGAACAACGCCAAGACATCCAGAATGTGTAGATTCCCCGACACAGCAATTCGATCACCGACATATCCTTTACTCCGATCGTCTGGTGATGATAATACGCGCATTCACGAGCTGTAGGAAGACATAACGGATAGAGTTTGAGGACGCTTTAATTCTGTAATTTTCCTATTTTACTCCAATGCGCAGCATGGTTTCCTGCCGGACAGTAAGCTTTCTACCCGCAGTAAGAATCCGTTTTTTTCGAATTTATGGGCCATTCCAGGTAGACTACAATGGGATTAATCCGCTACTCCAGAGGGTAGTGCTTTCAGAGAACCGCACAAATTCCAAGTCCTTTCACACTACTAACAACGTATAAGTAGCTCAGGGGGGATAAAATTCACCCGACGAGCGAAGGCGTTGCTGGAGGAGCCAGTCAATAGGATGACCGCGTGATGTGGAGCCTGAAATTTACGAATAGACAATGATTTGGCCTGCCCTAATGCAATGGTCAGTTGCTCAAATTTGTAACCGAGAGGTCGTGGTTTCGCTACTGAATGGAGTCACGTAAGGTTTGCCCTCCTGATGACTCATTATAGGGATAAAAGAGCTGTACAGTGCTTCTCAGCTTTTCAGCATGGACTGGCTTCACTTACAGGACGAAATCTACACCATGAAACAGCCCATTTACATCAACCTACTGAATGGAATCGCTGTTTCCTTCCGTGGTGTGGTGGGACTGGAGAAATTGATGGCGACTTGAATGATCGTGGTGACTAACGCGGGTGGTCACAACTAATTCGGCAAAATAAAACTTTGAATTTTCGTCCCTGTCGCTGCCAATAAGAACATTTTTTTGATTTAACTGGCCTGTGCGTTTTGAGTTCTGGGTATGCAGGTACACAGTATGCATAGGCTTGTACAGTTTTCAAAATATGGCACTTTTGAACGCAGGTATTGTCACTTTGCTCGGCAGATTTATCCACAACTTTGCGTTATCATTTATAAAGTTGCTAAGGCCCTAGCAGCCTTTCATGTGACTCATAAGCTGAGTGCAGTTCCCGAGATTCCGTCAACCCCATATACTACTTATGCAGTAGATTGCAAGTAGTTGGTTGACTACGGTCATTGGCGAATCATACAAGGATTATCGATTGATACAAGTAAATTCCACCCGAATATTTCGTTTTTAGGAATCTTGAGTCTCCCTTTAAAAACAGCCTGAGATGTAAATACGTACACTTGTTCGAATTTGCACAGTGTTTCATCTGCAAACTCTGGCATGCATGCATTCATTGGAACGACTATCTAATTTTTACAATAACAAGAATGGCTTGAGAATGTCGGTCGCACACATCGTTCGGATTTCTGGAGTGAAGCAAAACCTTGCTCATTCCCTTCCAAAAACTTTTTCAGCAGTGAATTTTAAAAACTTTAGTTTCCATTCTGCCCAATAATCAAAGGGTCACCGACTTTCGGAACGGAGTGCCTCAGTACTCACAAGGTTGCTGAAAACTAATTCGACAGCCCACACATATGTAAAAAACCAGCAAATGAAGAAACGATGGACAAGGTTGAAGTCTTTTTGTAATGCACTACTCATAAGGTTGCTGAAAACTCCCCGGCAGCCCACCACCGGTTTCGGTTTTGGCTGATCAGGTAGGTGCCGTTCCCGACTTTCTGTCAACATTAAGTTCCACTCGAAACCAAATTGCAAGAAGTTAGCGAAATACACTAATTTACAAACTAATTTGGTTTTTCAAGAAACTCGTCTAGAACCCAGGCAAATGAATGTGCCTTGGAAACATCAAAATCGAGTGATTCAGCTGCGTTCCAGGCGAGTTTCTCGAAAAACCAAATTCGTTTGCAAATGAGTGTATTTCGCTGTGGTCGAATACAATAAATCAGGACTGAAACCAGCCACAAGGCATCCGTAGAGATACCCGTGGTAACTTGCTTCAGGTCATGGTACCACCAAGATCCCTGTCGAATGCTCTCGAGCTGAGATTTAAAAAACGTGCCGATAATAGCGTTGAGCTCCAAAGTACTCTGAGATGCAAGGTAATTGTTAAGAAGAAATTTGAGCCCCGAAAGAAGAGGAGTGGTGCGTAAGTGAAGATGAAACCCTTCTCGAAATTTTTGCAGTCGCAACGTACAGGTTAAACCAACGTGAAAAGATAAATTTATTATTCAAAGCTGAACACAAAAAGGTGTTTCGTGAATAGGTCTGCCCCACAAAACGCGTCCAAACCACGTTTTCAAACGAAACGGGTATCCAAATGAACAGACGTACACGCCAGTGTTGAGTATTCCAGTGGAAACCTAGGTTTGTGTGACGTACGAGGCAGGTCTAGGTGCGAAGCCCTGGTGCAGACGTATACTAAGCGGAAAGAAGGCCGATGGCAGACACTTAGAGGCCCGTTGAGGGACGACACCGATCAGTACAAGCAATATGACTTAATAGTGAGGACTATTGTTACCTGCTTTGTATCAAGGCCCTGGCACCATCCAGCACTGTACAGCTGTTCCATCATCAATGAGACTTGTTAGGCGCGCGTATCTCATGAGACACCACGGAGTTTTGAATCTCTGCCTAGTACTTTGAACACTTAACTGTGTCCAAGGGTGGCTGATCAGTAGTATGATCAACTCGCAATTCGACGGAAGAACTAGCTCAGAGCTTCAGTCGGGGGACCGGTCAGCGCGTGACCACGTGATATGGATTCCGTGGCTGGAAGATGAATGGAGCCGCGTCCCAAGCACGTATGCCAAGAATCACCTCCACATTTAGAAAATTGACTTCGATCCTTGAAATTCGTCTTACTTTGAACAGTCTACCTTCGTTGTACCAATCTGGTGGATCTGTTTGTTCTCAGCGGTTGTCAAACGACTCACCTAACTGCTCACAACTAGTCGATATTACGACGTGCCTTACACGCAAGCAACTCTAGGTGAGGCCTCATTTTATGCGCCAGAATAACCAATGATATCTGTGGGAATACGCCTTGAAGCTCGAGATTGTGGAAGTCATAAATCCATAAAATCTCATTTGACAAATTTCAATCTTTACAAAAGATGTTGTGGAATGTCTGTTTTTTTCGAACTCGCGTCAATTTCTGGAATGCTCGAAAAGAGCAGTCATTTCTGTGAGCTACTGCTTATTCTATTTAAGTGATTCAGTAAGTTTGTTTTAATGAAATCCAAAATATTGATCGAATTATCGAATAATAATAATTTACAGGAATTGAGACGCTTCTTTCGAGTCACACACACATGCGTCCCAAACTTTATATGAGCTTTCTGTTACTGTCCCGGGTAACCCCGTGGTGCTCTGCCAAAGCCCCTTCATTTTCACCTAAGGCAGTCCCATCAGCATTCGTCTTTTTACTCTTTCGGTGTCATATTCTAAAATCTCCGTCATACATTGAACTACTGGAATTGGATCAATCCCGGCCATACCAACATTTTACTTTCCGTCACCTAACGTGCAACAGACCGCGCATAACATTGACTTGACCTTCGTTATCCGAAACAAATGACAGTTGTATTGACTGACCTCAAAATAGATGGCTCCAGCGATGGATCATGAGCTTCCAGGGTGAGCTCCACTCATCTGCACATGGAAGTTATTCGAAGTTAAGTGTTTATATCGAGGAGACAACGCATAATTGAGTATCCGATTCTTCGTCGTGGACCAGGATCTCTAACCAGGTGTAAACCAATCGATTTTTAATAATCCACATGCAACCGAAGTGCATACCATGCAGCTGATAACCAACAACGGGTTTAAAGCACTTCGTACGTTCATCAGGCAGGCACCGCATTTCATTACTAAAAATATCAATCGCTTTTCAGAATGATTCTGAGCTTCTCGTTATAGCAGAGCTGCTCGCAGTAAGAGTTCCCTGCGACAGATGTAGTGTTTAAAACAACCAGACTCAAACGTGTGGACAAACGCTGATAAAACATTATTTTATTCGGAGAATTTAAACGTTTTCTAGCAAGGCCAAGCCATCGATACAGTCATTGGTTAGTCTGGTTACGCAAAATCCGAAATCCGATACCAAATTCGGTAAAATTTCTGTCGTATACTACCAAGTTTGAAAACCTGGCTGAAAAAAACAGCCTCGGTCGGTGCACGATGCCTGCAGTATCACCTAAATTTATTTCCCAGATAGGTTTACTTACAACTGAGCTCGCGTTCATAATACCGGATATATGTACTTTCCTCTGTGAATTGCGTGCTCGTGTAGACCATCAGGCCATTTTGTCTAGGATGGCCAGTTGCAAAACGAAAGCCCAACATAAATCATTTGTCATCTGCTCTGGACAAAAGAGTCCGTATCGGAAGTTCCCAAAAGATTATTCAGGAAAATAAGACGTAAACGCGTGCCTATCAGCTGAGTAGCGGTGTTCTTTCCAGTCTATACATATCTGTGCGATGCAGTGAGGGCTTGATAGACACCTGTTGGTAAGTTTCTTGTACCTAAGCGGTCACTGAATCCATCCACACATGTCACTGTGTTCTCCCATTGGGTTTGATTGTGAATGATGGCTGTTCCTAGCCTGTCTAGAGCTGTGGGTGTGACGCGGGTGTCTTTGTTCGCACTGAACATCCTGAATATATCGAGCTACTTACAAACGAATCAGTAGCTGGAAAATACAAGCTTTCCCGGCAACCCGAGGATCATCTGAGTGGTCCCGACTCATCATACCAGAGTCCCGCAGAAACCGAGAGTGGTATATGGGACGTATATGGGTGCACTTCATTCGGGACCGAGATGTCCTATCCCCAGATGAATCTGTAAAATTTTATCACTCCAGAAATTGAAGCATGTCCACGACCAGCGGGAGTTCAGAAAGGTACCAAGCTTGACTCCTCAGATGCATATGGCACGTGTGAAATTCTGTTTGTTTCACAGGTATGAGCTTTTTACTGTGTTTCGCAAATCCAGGTTGTCTCAATCTGTAAGGTACGGCGAAACGAGACTGCCCATTTTAGCCTAGTGGTTAAACCCACGGTCTTCCGTTTCGATGACCTGGTTAGGAATCCAAGCATAGGCCGCTTTCAGATTGGCTGTCGGGTCGGTCTCGTGTATTCCTCCCTGAAAGGCGCGGATGAATGATTCCTAGTTACTGGCGCAATCGCTCAAATTTTCTTTGGTGCTTGCAGATATACTGGCTGGCGAAAATCTGAAACATTTTAGCTGAAAGTGATGATTGATATGCATCTATTCATTTAGTACAAACTCATTTGGGGTGCGGCGTATCCCAGTTTCATTCACATTATTTAACTGAAGAGTGACGATTTACCGTACCACATATTCCGTACTATAATTCTGCTTCGGGCTATCAACCTAAAAGGTCAACGTAGGGCACTGAGGTACAAAAAACTCATAATTAATGAGGAAACATACATTGTACGACTGCATTGTGCCTAGTTGTTTTCACCGGCGGCTCTATCATTCTCACCAGCGTTTGAAAGTGCTTCACCGCCGAGGCGGCACCCAACACATTTGAGATGCTTCGTTTATCAGCGGATCAATTTTCATCCGAACGTCATAGAAACCAGCGTTGAATGAACGATTACAGTCAACAACTGGCACAAAAGTACCCAACCAGATATAATTTGAAAACGGGTCCATTAGTACTCATTTGGGTGAAAAATGCTACTGAGTACAGCCCTTCTATTAAGTGCGCATTACTGAAAAGACTTCATTCGAGTGATTCACTGGGAAAATAGCCAGTGAGTTGACATAGTTACACACTACGGACTCTGAGGAAGAGATGAAAGTTGTTTTAGAATTTTAGAATATCCGTTCATTGTAGAGCCAAATATCGGAATAAGCCTTTTCTGTGAGTGCTCCAGAGGAGTACCGCATTTGTTCTTCCTGCCAGGCTTAATCAGTTCAAAAAGTTGTAAGCGGAAAACTTTCCGGTGGTAGTCTTGATCCCTCGGATACAGACAGTCTTTCTCGATCGAGAAGACGGGTGGTTCAGTTCTATTTTGGACCGAAATCACTAGATAGCGTGATTGATTAACGCCAGTTTCCACCCTGCACTAAGATCAAGCAAACAACACTCGAATCGCGTCCTCTGATTCAAAAATGCATTCAAATGCTACTTGTGCTTCTGGTGAAGCAAAACCCAAGAGTTCAACATGTATTTATAGAATCAATGAACAATTAACGCCGGACGACCTTATGAGAATAGTTCAGTGCCACATGTTTCCCTATAGAGAAAAACGTTAGTAGCTCGGGTTGCTAGAAGGTCTTTGGCTTGTTCGTTGATCTGAGCTGGGCAGTTTGATTGCAATCGAGATGACATCTTCAGTGCGTTGTCGCGGAGCGTAATGGTGCGTATCGATGGATTCACAAACAAAGAATCAAGGAACAGATAGAGTCAGGTAAATAAACTTTACAAACCGGAACTGTTCGAAGGGTCAGGGACAAAGGTCACTCCAACACTGACCGGTGTACGAGGGCAGGAGATGCCAAGCTCATAGTTCACGTGGGCATCGGCGATTTAGGGCACAGGATGACAGAGCAACCAATGGAAGCGCCCCGCAGAACAACTAAAGTCAGCCCCAGCTATCAGCATGTATATCAACACACACACACACACGCAACACTACTCAACGCATACCCACCGATCCATCGCTACGCACCACTACGGTCCCTAACTGATGACGTCACCTCGATTGGTGATGGAACATTTGCAATCACATTTCTCAGCTCAGCGAACAGGCCGACGACCGGTGTCAAACGCGTTCTAGAATGGGTTGCATACTTAAGATAGGTACGTGGCTGGACCTTGGAGAGCTCAGACGTTTGAGCGTTCTTTGTTCATATTGAGACGTATAAGATGAGCGTAGGAGAGTCAGATATGCGATATTTTGATCAGTGCCTTCGGCCTGCTACTCGCCAATCACACGTCCATCGAACAGTTTGCGTGGCCTGATAGTTGGCGTGAGTCTTCGTGTAACATTAAGCTAGCTAGATCAGGCTGAGAATACGGAATTAAGACGAAAACACTTGTGTACGCAAAGTGGAGTTCCAAGCCTTTTGATAGGACCGTTGACCAATGAGAAACGTTCTGACTACTCACAAGTAGTCAGATGAATGCCGAAGTCAGCAGCACATTCGAGCGGTAATCATACCTGGAACCGTAGTTATCCTCACAATAGACAAGCTTTTGTGGCCGTGAGTTAGTTCGAAATCTTTTCCCTCATATCACCTACACACCAGGACGAAATTTACCCAACTGGATTATTGAGTGTTTATCCAGTCATGTCCCGACATGTAACGAGGCCCGAGAAATTCCTTTGAAAGCCATTCTGTTAATCGATTTTATTGATTATTGGCAACAAATGGATCGGATTGAGATCCAACCAAAAGGACGATCGACAAATGGGCAAACCAAGACAAGGACATAACATCCGAAGCAGGGACAGATAAACAAACAATATCACAAGTTAGTCAAATATGAAAATATGGCCACATATATAGAAGATGTTGGTGACAAACGGGGTCGCTGTGATACCGTATTGCATGCATTCGTACCAGAAATCAATAGAAACGGAAAGCAGTAGACAATTTTGACAGGCACAAACTCACAAGTGATGCAAAGATTTAAGTAAAACATTCGCAAACCTAAAATGCTGATTTGAATGTAATAAAAATTAGACAACGGTCGAACAGCTGAGTAATTGTAACACCGACCTGAAGGGGAATCGGTAGTGCTCCTGTTGGAAGACAGGCCAGGGGGACATTACAAGACTCAACAGGTCTGTCATTTTCACGATCGATTTATTGATTGATCGATTGAATGATTTGGAGAGTAATTGGACACGACTCGAGAACGTAATTCGGAACATAAGAAAAAGAAGATAGGCATGACATGGAACAAACAAATAGGACAAGAAAGGAATTTTTTAACATGCTTCTGTTTGGGCTAAACCGCACCTAATTTGGGAAATGGGGACATGGAGCGCACGTCAATCTTTTTTTCGTCAAGAGATCCTACTGTGGACAGCTTTCATCACTTGGTAGCTTCTGTTGTTTGTGGCTGAAACGAAAAACGCGATCGAATTATGATTCTCTGGGAGTATCCACAACATAAACACGTCAACTGAGGGAACAAAACAAAAGTTGAACATGAAGTTGACGGTTGAACTTGCCCAGCCAACTAACTATGATCTACTTATCGGGTTAGCGATGATAATAATACGATATACATGGTCATCCGGTGCGACCAAAATCGCAAAAAACTTCCATTTCCAACAGATTCCATAGCAGAAAGACGTGAGCGCAAAACCGTGGTGTTGTAACCATTAGTTCAGAGTGCTTATCTTTGGATTCATGGGCGATAGCAGATTGAAGACAATGCGTTCCTTACACAACCCCCATGAAAATGAAATATATTTGTAGAAGAGGGTGCTAGATGGAAACCGATACTTCTAGGCTGCGTGATGTCAGCCGACTAGCTGTTGCCAAAAAACACTGAACAACTAGGCCACTGGTACACCATTTTGTCTTAAAATCAGTGATATTCTATTATTCAGCCTGCACATCAGTGCGCATACTGTCAGGCAGTCAGCACATACACTATCGAGCTTTGACATCGTAATACGATTAGTCCGCATCTCCCCACGCGACAAAACCGGATCACCTTTGTTCTCAGTCGGAAATTAGGATCGCTCATCAAAAATACCACAAAAGCCACTTTGAGTAGGATTTAGATATTCCACGTGTCCAGGATTATGGTTGTGTACAGTGCCTGCCTTGTACTGTGTATGAAACATATCTACGTACGAATAATTACTTTCAGATCCCTCGCACTGAAACATAGCTTTTTTACGAATATACTTCAATCTTTTCATAAAGGAAACTACTCATAAGTTTGCTGGAAACTCTTCGACAGTCCACGACCGGTTTTGCCCTTTTTGGGGCTCATCAGGTAGGCGCAGTCCCCGAGTTTTCGGCAAACTTATGTTCTACTTGAAACTGAATTGGACTGAAATGCACAAGAAGGGCGAAACCGGTCGTGGGCTGTCGAAGAGTTTTCAGCAACCTTGTGAGTAGTTTCCTTTATGAAAATATACTGCGATATCTCAAATATCGTGCCAACTGAAACATGAGGCGGCCTGTGTGCAGCACATAGAGTTGTAGAATATCATAAACGAGCGATTCAGTTGAGTCTCTCGTGAAAACCAAGTTGATTTGCAAATGAATGTATTTGCCGAAAACTTCAGTCTTCATTATCTGTCAGAGCACCGCTGCATGCAGTCCCGAATGCTTTGTCGTCGAATAACTAAGAGCTGCAGGAAATCGCTTGTGACCACCTTTCCAACAGGCGCTGGAATGATGAAAGCTAGTCAGTGTACGTGCGGAATGCTAGTAGCGCAAACAACTACGTCGGTCATCATTATCATCATCATCGACAGCATGACATCAGTGTTCAACACCGATGCTTCACTGCCGTAAACTACGTCGGTGGCTCACATGAAACTGAACTGCCACAGACACACACACACACAAGGCTAAGCTTCTAGCTGGATATGGCTGCGCTATGAAAACACCGCTGTTTTCAGAATCGTGCGTTTTTCGGCAAAGAATGGTGGGGTAGTTGGGGAAATCATCGGTTGGTGTCATTTGTTCTTGGTGCGGCAGTCAATTTTGCCCACATAGTGGGTAAAGAAATCATCCAGGGAAGTAGTGTTAGGTTTACGAGTAGCCTGTTCGGGTGGACAAGAGAGCACAGATTCGCTACCGTGTGTCTATTCACAAGCTTATAGCCAGACTTTAACGTGGTGTTTTTGCTAGGCTTCCCTGTCTACTTACTGTTTCTTCAGCACTGTCACATAAGCATCGCTGATTGAGGGTGCAATGATCGAATACTGATGGCATTCTCATTTACCTAACGTCCAAAGGTTGGGTCCCATGTCTTATGTGGTCCTACGAAAGCCCGTGAATAGGGGATCTGAGAAAAGCAGGCAGGATTACGGCCTGGAAGGATGTATATGGACCACATATTCACGCTGCACCAAGTTATGGGGCAATGACATGTTTATGGGCGTCCTACAGTCTTGTAGTTACCGGACCTCGAGACGACATGGCGGTTGGTTGGTGCCAGCGTCTTCCATTCTATCAGTTTCCACTCAGACTGTCTGGTTAGTGGATGTATGTATATGCACCTCACTACTTTATGGTTGGTTAGTCCCGGGTCCCCGTCTAACGTCAAAAAGTTGGGTCCCATGTCTTATGTGGTCCTACGAAAGCCCGTGAATAGGGGATCTGAGAAAAGCAGGCAGGATTACGGCCTGGAAGGATGTATATGGACCACATATTCACGCTGCACCAAGTTATGGGGCAATGACATGTTTATGGGCGTCCTACAGTCTTGTAGTTACCGGACCTCGAGACGACATGGCGGTTGGTTGGTGCCAGCGTCTTCCATTCTATCAGTTTCCACTCAGACTGTCTGGTTGAATAGTGGATGTATAGGCACCTCACTACTTTATGGTTGGTTAGTCCCGGGTCCCCGTCCCAGACCCCACTTCGCTTTTATCATTATAAGGCTACATTCGAATAACTCGTCATGGTTGTATGGCAGTGAAGCATCGGTGTTCTCATCTGGTGTTGATCTGAATGATGATGACGATGACGATGATGTTGTTGTTGTTGTTGTTGTTGTTGTTGTTGTTGTTGTTGTTGTTGTTGTTGTTGTTGTTGTTGTTGTTGTTGTTGTTGTTGTTGTTGTTGTTGTTGTTGTTGTTGTTGTTGTTGTTGTTGTTGTTGTTGTTGTTGTTGTTGTTGTTGTTGTTGTTGTTGTTGTTGTTGTTGTTGTTGTTGTTGTTGTTGTTGTTGTTGTTGTTGTTGTTGTTGTTGTTGTTGTTGTTGTTGTTGTTGTTGTTGTTGTTGTTGTTGTTGTTGTTGTTGTTGTTGTTGTTGTTGTTGTTGTTGTTGTTGTTGTTGTTGTTGTTGTTGTTGTTGTTGTTGTTGTTGTTGTTGTTGTTGTTGTTGTTGTTGTTGTTGTTGTTGTTGTTGTTGTTGTTGTTGTTGTTGTTGTTGTTGTTGTTGTTGTTGTTGTTGTTGTTGTTGTTGTTGTTGTTGTTGTTGTTGTTGTTGTTGTTGTTGTTGTTGTTGTTGTTGTTGTTGTTGTTGTTGTTGTTGTTGTTGTTGTTGTTGTTGTTGTTGTTGTTGTTGTTGTTGTTGTTGTTGTTGTTGTTGTTGTTGTTGTTGTTGTTGTTGTTGTTGTTGTTGTTGTTGTTGTTGTTGTTGTTGTTGTTGTTGTTGTTGTTGTTGTTGTTGTTGTTGTTGTTGTTGTTGTTGTTGTTGTTGTTGTTGTTGTTGTTGTTGTTGTTGTTGTTGTTGTTGTTGTTGTTGTTGTTGTTGTTGTTGTTGTTGTTGTTGTTGTTGTTGTTGNGGCTGCGCTATGAAAACACCGCTGTTTTCAGAATCGTGCGTTTTTCGGCAAAGAATGGTGGGGTAGTTGGGGAAATCATCGGTTGGTGTCATTTGTTCTTGGTGCGGCAGTCAATTTTGCCCACATAGTGGGTAAAGAAATCATCCAGGGAAGTAGTGTTAGGTTTACGAGTAGCCTGTTCGGGTGGACAAGAGAGCACAGATTCGCTACCGTGTGTCTATTCACAAGCTTATAGCCAGACTTTAACGTGGTGTTTTTGCTAGGCTTCCCTGTCTACTTACTGTTTCTTCAGCACTGTCACATAAGCATCGCTGATTGAGGGTGCAATGATCGAATACTGATGGCATTCTCATTTACCTAACGTCCAAAGGTTGGGTCCCATGTCTTATGTGGTCCTACGAAAGCCCGTGAATAGGGGATCTGAGAAAAGCAGGCAGGATTACGGCCTGGAAGGATGTATATGGACCACATATTCACGCTGCACCAAGTTATGGGGCAATGACATGTTTATGGGCGTCCTACAGTCTTGTAGTTACCGGACCTCGAGACGACATGGCGGTTGGTTGGTGCCAGCGTCTTCCATTCTATCAGTTTCCACTCAGACTGTCTGGCTGAATAGTGGATGTATAGGCACCTCACTACTTTATGGTTGGTTAGTCCCGGGTCCCCGTCCCAGACCCCACTTCGCTTTTATCATTATAAGGCTACATTCGAATAACTCGTCATGGTTGTATGGCAGTGAAGCATCGGTGTTCTCATCTGGTGTTGATCTGAATGATGATGACGATGACGATGATGTTGTTGTTGTTGATGATGATGATGATGATGATGATGATAATGATGATGATGATGATGATGGTGAACATCAAAATTTCGACCAAATTCAGCGGCAAAGTTCTTGCTTGAGAATGAAAGTAAGTGAACTTAGGCATCTGACCAACATTGACCGACGGGCAGTTTTATCCAACATTCTGGTTTAAACAGGTTTGCGACAATGTCTCAACACTCTAAGTTTTACTCCGATAAAACATCCCCCACAAATGGCATAAATACTGTTTTGCTGATGATGTAAACTTCGGATTCCACTGGGTTCTGATGCGAATTCCAAAACTGCGGGTCATTGAACTGGGTGTTTTACCCCAAGAACTGCCGGACAGTCAAATTGACTTTTTTATTGGCCTGCTGTAAACATGTGAATCACTGTGTTGTCGAGACTGCCGGTAGAAGCCAACCTATTGAAAGGGTTAGCTTTGTTTGCGCGCGACACACGTGATTCTACCTCACAGAGTGCATAGCGTCGTCTGTTCACCCGTTAACGATCAATACTGCAACGACATTGTGGATAGTCAGCCGAAATTCTCCAGCGTGGTGCGCGTGATTCGAATGAAATACGATGATTAGGCTCGGTAAAGTGAAACTAGATTCGTCTGCAATTCAGACAGCAATTTTAACGAAATCGAGCTTCCCCTCCCAGATCAACTGAAGTCTCAAGTCCCATTGAAGCTCATAAACAACCTTTCTTCACAGCAGATGTCTTATGCGACAATAAATTTGGAGAAAATGACACTTCAAGCAACATCCAAATTAACCGGTACTTTGAGCGCTCCTTCTCCGAGTGAATCCGGGCGATTCCAGTTCAAGTTACTTTATTTTCGTCCCCAAATCGATAGTACCGTAATAACTTAGCTACGGTTAAAGAATCGCAGCAGGTTAAAGAATCATCCATTGTCAACAAACTGAATCGATAGTCTACCCGATCTTGGTCTAGCCTCAACTTTTTATGCATATCGCAGGGGACTGGCACTTACATGGCCAGAAGGCCACTAGTGACTCTCAAGTGATGCTCCGGAAAATCGATGCATATATATAAGCTGAGTTCAAACAAACGTTGCTACCAGAGCTGGCTGCATCCAGTCCTATCAGTACTACTTTTATCCGTCACGCTGTTTGGTCTGCAGGCCGCTCGAATATGGAAAACCTTTCAGATAAAACAGCTAAGGTTTATTTAAAACCCTAGTTGCATGGTTTTCAGTGGTGAAATCCTGTTCGCCGTTCTAGGCGGCTTTACCGTTCTAACAACTTGACAACTTTCTTGCCTTGATTCACCTAGCATGGGAAAAAACCGAACACTATCCAGCACTGACTGTTCGGCATACTTTTACGGATTAACGATTTCCTAATCGATTACCAAATGGTTCTGTTTGTAGCATTCCAAAGTATCAAGTTTTGTCAGGCTGCTGTATTGTTTTCAGTGCCGCACAGGAACGAAACCTGTACGCTGTTCAGACGACAAGAATGTCTGCGCAAAATCTTTCGGATCAAAAGCACCGTTGAAACTTAGGGCACCAAAGTCCTTTGAACAGTAGAGGTTGTTGAAACCGAGTACACTTTTAATGGCCACTTGGAAAGAAAACAGAACAATCTGTTCCCGGTCAATGGAACTTCCAATCTAAATCGCGCTAGAGCTCAGACGTTTAGAGAACGGCTATCGAAGCAGGCTTTGAGACATAAAGCAGGTTACTGAATCCAACCTGACATCATGAGACTTCCGTTTTACATTTGCCCATGTACATTTCATCTCCACTCATTTTGCTCATCTGTACCCGCCATTCGTCTTGTGGTGAAGACCGCCGTGTCCGACAGTGTCATATGAGTACGTGCGTGTGCGTGAATGCGCACAGTTGATCAACTTGTCTAATTGTGTTTGTACCATGTCTTCTGAGCCTACTGTGACCCGTCCTGTCGTGGTCTACGCGTAAATGCATCACCAGCCAGATTCATTAGACTGGCATCGCAAGAAACGACGGCAATCCGCACTTCCAAGGCAACATTCCGCTCACGTGTACTGACCTTGACACATCAGTCAATGATAGATTTGCTCACTTTTCGACTCTACGAACGTGGGTACAGCCTTGCTTGTTTCTGTGGAATTTCGTAATCCGCCCCTTCTTTTGCTATTTGGGATCGTCAAATCTGCGCGCGACTCAAAGTTACATACCTCAACATACGCAAATGTTGAAAAAAAGGTGAACTATTCAAAAGGGGTTCAATTTTTTAGTAGATCTGAGAAAAAACGGGTGCGTCCATCTTAGTAGGATTGACTTTAGAAGTTACGCGCATCTCTACTGGTCCATCTGACTCCTGTGAACCGCTGAAACCGAAGGAACTTCCCCCAATTTCTTTATCACCACGTGCTCAAGATTGCCATCATATGGACGACTATATCAGTACTTTCAAGGCTAAAAGAATACCGCTAGGTTGACGACATTAAACAGTGAATTGATGGAAGATCCTCAAGTAAACCTATATGGTGGATTTCTTGGCTGAATGCCGCCAAGACCGTGAAGAAGATATTTAAGCAGCATGTGCCGGTGTCATGCCGTCATGTTCGGGATCCGCGACAGAACTATCTTCATTCGCCCTCCTGTCTCATAAACTGTGGTCTGCACCGGTGCCAAGTGCTTGTATGTAACCCTGCGTTCGGTCCAGACCCCTCTGGATTCCCAAACAAACTCACTTTTCAGATAACCGCCATCCAGGAAGGACATTCATCACAATTCCCACTAGACATCACAGCTTATCCTAACTTATCGCTGATCACAAACTTGTGGATGACGCAAAAATGGGTCGTCACCTAAGGTCTCCAAATTCATATAATAATGGAATGATATTTTTTCAATTTTATCCACATATTCACTGGATTCTGTTTTTTTTTCGCGCCCAAAGTAAAAAAATCCCATCGACCACATCAGAGTAGTGATATCAACAGAGAATCACTAACCTCTTTAGGCTTGGCCTTTGGCAACAATACGACTTTTCCAATATTTTTTCTTTCTTGCAGCCGTGCCATTGCTTCTTTTACCTGGAGTGAAGTTCCAAGAGAGAAACCGTAATTAGTAGTCCATTAGTAGTCCACCGGTGGAAAATTAAACTCATTCCGGATTAGACGGACACCGTTCAGTTATGTCCCAAACTCGCCTCTCGTTGTTTCGTGTCTTGAGTGACAGAGTCTGATTTGATCCCTAATCATGGAGTTAAATGGGTTGTTCCATCAAAAAGACAGGTCTGGACGTTATTCCAGACAGCATATCTATGGGTGAAGTATTCGCAGTTACAACAACTATTCAATGGAGCTGTCACTCTGCAATCGATAACAACCGATAGTGAAAAGCCGAGAAGCGTCCTAGAGCTGTCTTATTTTTATTGATAATCGTCAGTTGTACTTAAACCACGAATTTTGAGGCGATTCGAACCTGCAAGAACCTCGTGTCCGATGAGTGAACAAAGATAACGAAACAGTTATCCAGTGCTCCTCGGCGTTTTGGCATCTTATGATTTCACCCGGAGGATGAGACACTAATGAACTTAGATAACATCCTCACACTCAAAAGGGAAAACTTATTTCACACAATTCTTCCTTCTGAGAAGTTGCCGCTTGTGCATTCACCTAGCACGTGACAGCACGTGATTAGCCGGTGCATTGCGCCGTACCTAGACTGTCACACACTGCCCGCAAGTTAGCTGACTGCGGGCAATAAACAACGAGGCACGGTAAATCTGCACTCCAACAATGTGTGTTCCTATCAATCAACTGAAAAACGTTTGGGACTGATTGGGTAGTCATCATTTCGGAGAGGTTTTTTAAACAATCGGTGTTCTTGTCACTTCAACAACTCGTCCCCGGGTATCCAGAACTGTCTCATCACTCATAGGGTTCTTCGGATACTCGCAAACACTGGGTTTCCTTGCTAAGCGTTAGAGTTTTAAGTAATCCAACCCAAAGTTATATCTGAAAGTATCCAGGTTGCTGATTTTGAGAAAAATGATAAAGGAACTAAAACGAAAGATACCTGGTTCATAAACAGAAGTCAACAACTTGTTCTCTCTTCAGAGAATAACGTCAGGCGTCCGAAAGCACCTGTTAAGTTTGCCAAGGATGTCAGGTGTCAGGTTGTTATAACCTACGAATAGAATCCTGTTGAACAGATCAAGGACAGATTGAGGCAGTATTTTTCGGTAGTCCAAATGCTGCCTGTGTCACTACAGTCTTCGGCGTTCTCGATGAGGGGCAATCGTTCTTCAGTTGAAAGTTGGAACGATTGGGATAGTTCCACCCACAAGGTCTCATGGTCTTCCTAATGGACACATTTACACTAAAAATTCAACAACATGCTGTAAAACGTGCTGTAAAGTATTTTAGATGGTAATATGTATGACAGTTTGAATCAGTGTTTGGGCGACAGTTATTAGATGGAGACATTCTTGTCTTCTGCAGTCTAGGAGAATTATCGATCGGTGGATTTCGATGTTTCAGGAAATATATGCACGCTATTTATTCACATTCTTTGTATGTTCATCAGTTCAAAACCAGGTTTGAAGTTATTTCCTTCCCCCGATTGTGGGCGTGCATATGCTCATACTCAAGTCTATGTTTATGCGTATAAGAAACGAATCCGAATACCTCTTCAAAACTCCATTCGCTATCCACCCACGGTTGGATCGATTTCGATTCGACCAGCTTCTCCAGTTTCGCCCAGGTTTCACGAATCAAATCCGCAGAACTACAGACATTCGTGTTCGAGGATGTGGTATGGTGATGCCTGGGGAACAGGAGTGACTTGAGACAAAATCCACCGAGCATTCGGTTGTCCTCGTGCAGTCGTAGCGGACTGATACGTTCCATGTGGAACCACTGAAAAGGAGAACATTTGGCCTTAGTTTTACCAACTTCATGGCTCAATCGAAGGCAGAGCAAAGCAGTTATCTATCTGTTCTAAGGGCAACATTCTTTTCAGGGGAGAAAAGAGGGATAAACAAGTTGACCACGAGGCCACCACAGTACACCTGTCCTTTTACGTCCTTCTGTGGGAATAAATATGTTTTTGATGGCTGTTTTCGGTTTTTTCGATAAATACGTTCATTTGCATATCGATTTGCTTTTGGTGACAGACTCAGCTGTAACCAAGCTGAATCTCTCGTTTATGATGTTTTTAAGCAACATAAGGTTGACGGAGACTCAGGGACAGCACCTACCTGACGACCCCCAAGATGGACGAAACCTATCGTGGACTGTCGAAAAGCTTTCAGTAGCCTTATTTGTAGTGTATCACGCCTATGCAAGATAATTTTTCCCGGGCGGGAACCGCTCGTCCCGCTTGCACGCCCTAGGCAGCGATGAAGACTCAGGATGAATTTGGTCGTCTTTAGAGCGCTCCTCAAGGGAGCCGTGGCTCCGTTAAGATGAACCCTCGTACACCCATTTCTGTAGGCTCATATAAAACCTGTTTCGGTATATGGGGGAAGTATATGAGTACATCCATCTTATTTGGTGAGTATTCTCCTACTGTAACATCAAGCGAAGCAGCTGATACCTGATAAGGTGTATCATGTCCGCCTGTTCTGATCCTGTCGTACACGCACGTTCACCGGGATGACCACTACTTGCGGTCGTGTGTAGACATTGGTGAAGCATCGACAAACTCACCAGTTTCTTCGACTTACTGGACTTAGGGTCAAAGGTGGACAGCTTCGCTACGGTATGTGTGCCCCAATATTGACCAAAAGGGTGATCTGATACTTGAATATCAGGTAGCGAAGAAAAAAGGCGTTAGAGCTTGTGAAGACAGAGGTGTTCCACTTGGAATGTTGGAAATACGGAAGTGCACTGTGCTTTTAATAAGGACCCTGCGGTCTACTCACTGCGTAATCTACAAGCTCTTTATTCCATCGACCCACAAAGTATGTGTTCTCGTCAGCTAAGCAATCGCAGTGTCAGATATCAAAGTGACGTTTTCATATACATCCTGAGCACATTGACATTTATATCACGTGAGAAAGTCAGTTTAACTTGCATGTATTAATGCCACTTCTTTTAAAAAATCGATGCAGCACAAAAAATTTGGATCAATAACAAGCATTATTTTGTACAAAAACTACTCACTAGGTTGCTTAAACTCCGTAGACAGCCCATGACCTGTTCTTTCCACGTTGGGACTCATCAGAAAGAAGAATTCCCCGAGTCCTTGTTAAATTTGTGTTCTACATTAACTAAAATTATACGAAACTTGAAAAATACACTCAGTTTTGCATCATTTTTGTTTTCATGAGAGTCCCAGCCGAATCACTAGTCCATTATAGTAGTTTGTGCCACATAGCCGTTGACTTGTTTTGTTGGGACTCTCAGAAAGAAGAATTCCCCGAGTCCTTGTTAAATTTGTGTTCTACATTAACTAAAATTATACGAAACTTGAAAAATACACTCAGTTTTGCATCATTTTTGTTTTCATGAGAGTCCCAGCCGAATCACTAGTCCATTATAGTAGTTTGTGCCACATAGCCGTTGACTTGTTTTTCAGTTATTACAATACCCGTACTTTTATTTGAAGGAACACTACTTACAAGTCCACTAAAGAGTCCTCGAAAGCCCATCACCCGCCTCGTCTTGATCGGTTTATAATCTGGACACATTTCCCGAGTTTCTGTCATCTTTTTGTCCTAACTGAAACCCAGTTGTGAGCAGTACTCCTTCAAAAAACTCCCAAATCTCTGATCAATTGAGAATCAAAGCGGCCTTCGTACAGCACAGCCGTCCAAAGTATACCATAAATTGGAGAGTCAGCTGAGTCTCCCATGAAAAATAATCTGAGAGAGTGAAATTTCATACAGTTTGGGTTCAAGTAGAGCATCAGTCCGAAGAAAACTCAGTGACTGCGTCGACGTGATGAGCCCCAAGGGAAGAGAAACCTGTCTTAGGCTGTCGAAGAGTTTTCAGCGAGTGTGCTCCTTCAAGTCCACTGAATATGTTGGGAACGTTGCTTCTGAATCGAGTAACTTCCTGTTGAGCCAAAATTCAACGACTAACGTAGCTTCAGATTCTCCTGATGCTCTGTTGTTCCAGCGCTGCGTGAACAGTGCTGTGCAGTCCATCGATCATAGACTAAAGATTGATGGATTCGACAGCGAAAAGCGGTGCTTCAACAGCCCAGTTTGAAATTTCCCAAGTGCCACCAGTTTTGGTTGGTATGTGCATCCCTCTATAGGATATTTCCAGTTATTCTATTTATGTGAAAGAGGCGTTCCTATCTACGGTTGTTGCAGTCCCATTGTAGTAAACTCATATCTTCATGAGGGAAACTACTCACAAGGTTGCTGAAAACTCTTCGACAGCCCACACTTGGTTTCGCCCTTCTTGGGGCTCATCAGGTAGGCTCAGTCCCCGAGTTTCCCGCAAACTTATGTTCTACTTGAACCTACCTACCTGATGAGTTGCAAGGAGGGCGAAACCGGTCGTGGGCTGTCGAAGTGTTTTCAGCAAACTTGTGAGTAGTTTCCTTCATGAAAATATACCGCGATATCCACAATATCGTGCCAACTGAAACATGAGGCGGCCTGTGTGCAGCGCATTCAGTTGTAGAATATCATAAACGAGGGATTCGGTTGAGCCTCTCGTGAAAACCAAATTGGTTTGCAAATGGGTGTATTTCTGGTAAACTCATATCTGTTCATTTCCTCTTACCAGTCATTTACGTTACGAACTGTCTTTGCAATCCCCTCACCAGAGGTAGAGTGATCTGTCCGGTGAATCCCAGTCGATTTATCTTCACTGTAATACCCGAGCATGTAAATGCACCAGTAAACATCAGCTGACCTTCTCATATCTGCGCACTATACTACGACCTTGAACTCTTTTTCACACTTCAAATACCGGCTAATACCCAGCAAAACCTTCACGAAAATTTGGTACACCGCCCGATAAATGCAATTCTGCTTCGAATCAACGTCACGATTGCCCGTATAAAATCAAGGTTACTTTCGACATCTGTTGCTTTTTTTCCTAAAATTGTAGACGGTTACCGAGAACTAGCATTGATCTGCATGGGTCCCTAAATGATTGGGATTGATGTGATTTGACGCCCGGTCATTTTTCAAGTTTCTTCAAAGTGAGGTTTTTCGCAGTTCTTTTGTTGCCACCTTTTTCATCATGTTGCGCCAGTCTCGTTGTAGAAAATGTCAAAACCCTCACATTGCGGGACCCAGTCGGTGATGGAAACGGGAGCGGTCAAGTGGCTGTGGAATACTGTCGCTTCGTAAGTTGCATTCTGGCATGTAAACACTGAAGTAGCAAACCACCTAACATATCAGATGCCGTTGCCAATCCTAAGAATAGTGAGATGGTTTTTGCTTCCCTCTGTTCAAATTCTCCATAAAAAAACTTGTCGGGTAAAGTTGGTGAGAGTTCGGAATTCTTGTTCTAGCGCGTCATCAGAGCACATTTCTCGCGCTCTGTTAGTTAGGCTATGCATCAGATTCCGTTTCTGCTTTAGTATAACGAAGCTGTCAAGTTTGATCTAGCGCGTATCAGAGCACATTTCTCGCGCTCTGTTAGTTAGGCTATGCATCAGATTCCGTTTCTGCTTTAGTATAACGAAGCTGTCAAGTTTGATGTACTGTCCGGACCAAGTGGATTGTCGGTACACCCATCGTTTCAATGTACTATCGTGACGTCTTTCAAGGCCAACATCCAGGAAGTGGAAGAAGTTAGCGGCTATTCCTTCCGAGATAAATTTGAGGGCGTGTGGGCCTTGTTGGACTCATGTTGGGACGATTCCATCTCAGCTTCATTGTTCACAACCTCGAAGATGTCGTCCACATATCAGCAGTTCAGTCGTGTCGGTTAGAACTTGGCCCAGTGGTAAACCCATGGCAACGCCATCAATTTGACGGTCAACAGTAGTTGCGCAATCAGTGCGCATCGCAGGAGGAGTTTTCGCAATTCTTTGCCTGGAATTGGCAACTGAAAGATGTTTGCTTCGTAGCACGATTGCTCGTAGTACGGGGTCTCGCTGCTCTTGGTCTGGCTCCTCCCCTTTGGCCTTCCTGGCATGGTTGCACTTTGTGGAACGAAGTTCCAGCCAGTGTAGCTCGCGGGATCGCTGCAGCACTCAAGCCCGACCACCACGTCAAGGTGGCAGCTTTAGGTCGGGTGACCTGAACTAGTTGTTCTTGGATAAGTAGACAATGTCGTCTCCCAATCGATTTCCTGTTCATCTACACCATACACATCCAGATAAGTTAAATACTGCTCTCTTAACCTTTGCAATATGTTCGTTAACCCGTCTGTGTTCTAATTACAAATGGGAATTTTCGGAATAATGAAATGACAACTGTCATTATGACAAACGCAGGTAACCCAATAAAGCCACAATAATACACTAATATACTGGGGGAACAAAGCAAATTCCAAAGCTGAGTTTTTAATTAGCGTCTGACAGTGAAGTACAGATTTTAGACACAAATGATCGTGCGCTGCGGGTTCAATCATCATCATCATCGTCCTCCTCCTCCTCCTCCTCATCATCATCATCATCATCGACAGCATGACATCAGTGTTCAACACCGATGGTTCACTGACGTACAACCATGTTTTATTTGAATGCCTTGTTGCAGAGAAAAGAGTAAAGGTAGACGGGGAAGGGAATGAGTGCCAGCTTACCACAAGCAATACGAGGTGCCTACACCTCCGGACACTCACTCAGGCGATCTGGATTGAAACTGATAACAAGAGCGCCACTGACATCGGTTGGCAGCCATATCTTGTAGTGTCTCCAACCAGGCACAGTGAGGATCACGCGGTCCCCATCCTGGAAGGCGAGTAGCAC